TGAAGATAAGACAGCCATAGGAATTTTAAATTTTAAGAATCCTCCACTCCCCAAAGGGTATCCTTCATGCTTCCACAGACACTAAATGTGCAAGGTCTGTTTTGGCAGTGGTCCCTACTTCACAAGGGCCTGGCACAGTTTGGGGGGAAATGCCAGAGTATTGTTTCGAAGGCGCAGAAGATGAGAAGTACAGTAATAGCATAATCCTAAACAGCCCAAGGCAGCCAAGAGCCACCGCAGCTGAATCTAAACCTTTGGAGCTGGATGGGCACATGTCAGAAATGACTTTGTCCTACTCTTGCCATGTCCTGATGTTGGGTCAACGTTGCAGCTGTATTCCTAGCCTGGAGGAGGTTTGGATCTAGCATCACTTCCCTCCTCTCCTTGCCCTGCTCTTCTCCTCCCCTTTCTTTCTTTCTTTATTGGAAGGAGGTTCTTCTGCCAACAGATCATAGCCAGCATAGCAGTTGTGCCAGTAGATCTCTGAGAACCACTATAATTGGTGGGTCTGTATCGTAACAGACAAATTTCTGCCAGTAGAGGAGACTTCTGCTTAACCCAGTCTCCCCAAAAATAGGGCTTTTTTTTTTTTGAGTCAGGGCAGCTTTTAAAATCAGCAGGGCTTTGAAAGTATTAGAAATTTTTAATGGAGAAAATTCAAAAAATCATCATAAATTAACGAAGTGTCAGAACAACACCAAAATCAGTTTGCATAGGTTTCAGGAGGTGGACTAACCATTGCAATCATTTAATCCTTCCTTCCTTCCTTCCTTCCTTCCTTCCTTCCTTCCTTCCTTCCTTCCTTCCTTCCTTCCTTCCTTCCTTCAACTCCAAGCAAAGGCAGCTTAACAATAACAATAAACCACTTCTGACTTACAGCAACCCTTCTCAAGGTGAAACACACCTTTCCTCTCTTCCAGAGTTGCTCTGGGACCACCATGACAGCTTGGCGCAGGCCACGCAGGCTGGCTCTTTTCCTGGGAGGCACAGCAGGGAATTGAACTTCCTTCCTTCCTTCCTTCCTTCAACTCCAAGCAAAGGCAGCTTAACAATAACAATAAACCACTTCTGACTTACAGCAACCCTTCTCAAGGTGAAACACACCTTTCCTCTCTTCCAGAGTTGCTCTGGGACCACCATGACAGCTTGGCGCAGGCCACGCAGGCTGGCTCTTTTCCTGGGAGGCACAGCAGGGAATTGAACTTCTGACCTCCAGCTCTGCAACCAGGTACCCAACTCACTGAGCTCTTTGGACTTACAATACGGTTTAGAACATCATAATTAAAATATTAATTATTAAAAAGGATTGTTCTGTCAGCCATTAAAATGCCTCTTGACTCTCCATTATTTTAGCCCTTTCTGGTGAAAATGAATCTTTTGCTCCACCGTTTTTTAATGGAATCCTAGAAACTACTACAGTTCTGGCTGATTTCCCAGATGATGATTCCCCAGTTGCCGTAAGCACTTGCTAGAGTACTTGCTAGAGTCTTCCCTGGTTTGGTTTGCATGAGGAGAAAGTGCTGAAAAAGTGCATAATATGCAATGAATTCCTCAAAATAGCAGGAATCCAAAAGAGGGTTTAGCAGCCGCAGCTGGGTGAGAGCCCATGTTGAGTAATACATTTCCTGAGAGAACAGCCTTGCTGATCACAGTCCCATTGTTTGCTTCCTACTCTCATCTACACTTCCCTCCCCCTCCTTCCCTCCCTTCTTCCCTGCTTTCAAAGAGATGGCTAATTGGATATAATGGGAAACAGGAAGAGCTCTCCACTCCTTCTAGTCCACTTTAGTTTCAACCTGAAATTGGTAGCAGAAAGATCTACCACCAGAGCAAGCACTCACCCGTCACTCCAGTTGACGTGGATTCCTTTCCCCATCATGGCAAAGAGGCTGCCTTCCAAAGCGGCAATGAGGGACTTCTCTTTATACATCCCTCTTTTTCCATTGCATGTGGACCCAAGTTAATGAGGTGTATTCTTCACTGATACAAGCAACTGATAAATAATCCACTCTTGGAAAAGATGATTAAATGCAACAATCTAAGATGGGTTGATTACTGGTAATAAGAGCAATAAGAATGCTTGGCATGTAAGCCAGACAGAATAAAGCTGCAGCAAATTGCAACCTTCCACACCACATATGTTTGCTCCATTCATCACTGCTGAGGAAGAAACCTTTGTCAGTAAGGCAACGTGCACATTTTAAAAAGAGATGTGAGACTAGTTATCTGAGTGATCCCCATAACCCCCCAAAGAGAAGAGGCTACTTTAAAAGTAAGCCTACAACTGAGTGCTATACATTCATTCCGGCAGTGGCACAAGAGAGGTCCAGATTCTGCCATCCTTCATCAGTTAAGGTTGCCATTTTCACCTGTCTTTCTTCCTCTGGGTTACCCAAGGTTCAGAACCACTGTCCTCACTGAAGTGCTCTCCAGTTAAAGACTACCATACTACGCCTCAAGAGTAAAGCCCTAGAAGATGAATTCTGGAACAGGGCATATGGAGAGCAAATTCAGCAGGCAAGCACACCTGGTCACTGTCTTCCTTTTTATAGGGGAGTACAGAAACAATCCCCAAATGTTATTGCTAAAGAAACCTCTGTATCTATAAACAGCCTGCAAATTATCATACGCAAAATGTTGTGTAAATCTACTCTCCTTGGTCTTTTTTTTGGAGGGTTGATATATTTGTTGTTTTCTCGCAAGGCATAGATAGCCACCCTAACGCTGGCACTCATTTACTCTCCAGGCACTGAAAAGTGGGCTTGTGTGAACAGAAATCATTTTATTGTTTCGACACCAGAATTCTTTGCTGCTCTCATTACTTCCTTGCCATATTCTTCTTTGAAACAAAACCTAAAAAAACACATCATCTTTAAAGAAGGCTGGAGGGGTTTCATTTGTTTTTGTTTGGTTTGTAGAAGAAGTATTCCCCAGACAAAATCCAAACATTGCAGGATACAGCATTTATTACTTCTTGTCTTGGTTCTTAGAGCAAAGGCAAGGAAAGGACAAAAGTTACAGAGGGAACCTCTAGTTTAAAAAATCACAGCCACAGATGGAGTAATTTGCTAACAAGTTGTAGGCTGATTCAGGGGTGCTTCCCCTCCCCTCAATCAATCGACTTCTAATGATGCTCAAAATGCTGTAATAGATGGAGCATCCCCGCCTTGACCTAAATTGGATCAGATGCCTCACTAATGCGATGTCGGCAAGTCAAATCAGCCCTTAATGCCACCAGGATGAACCTGTAGGGAATATTTGATCGCTAATGCCTTCGTGTGAGTTGGAAGAGAAATCCTATCTTTTGATTTAATAAACCATCTCTATATTTCCCAAAGGTGGTTACATGTTGGAGCAAGATGAGCTAATTAGCAGAATTACTCTTTTTTAAAGGGAGGCTTCAGGACTCACCACTAAATTAGAACATACTAAATGCCACAGTCCTACAAGATCTGACGGTTTTTCGCACACAATCTTTTTGATAATTTTAAGCATCGTGGTGGCCCACATAAGGATTTGGTGTTCTTTGCTAAGGGACTAGTCTTAACTATGTGATTGAATCTCGTAAAACACTAATCACTATTAAAGAACTTAAGAAACCTAAAAAGGCAGATATCCTTAATACATCCTACCAGGCTTGATTCATCTGGGTTTATTTGAGCTATAAACATTCATATTTAAACAAGTAAAATGCTGACCTTTTTAATACTAGATATTTCTGACTGGCACAGGCCTTCTCTAGCACACAGTTCCATCTGTGTTATGATAGCCTCCATTACCGGTGTGCAGATCTGTGTTTTTGGACTACAATTCCCATAATTGTCCTGCAAAAAAAAAACCCCTGCAAATCAACTCTAGCCTCCATCCATACCAAACTCTCCTTTTTAGAATGGGAGATATTATTTTACAAAGAAAGCAGGTCAGAATGCTGGACTCAAAAGCAACACAAGAACTAGGAGAGTGGAAGTGAGAACATTTGCATGATATGAAGGGACGGGGCTGCCCAACAGCCATGGGGTGGACCCATGGGGAGCCCCCAATCTTTTTCCCACTTTGGTCCTTCCTCTTTAAACCCATCTTGGGCTGCCTTTCAAAGGGAGTATAAATGAAAAATGAGTTTCCCCTCCCCCTTGGGTCATCACCCAAATTAACCACAGTTCTCCCTAAAAGAGCACATGGTGCCACCATGCTACCAATCTCACCAGCTGGAGATGGGAAATGTTGGCTGGAGATTCTAAGATCTATAGTCCATAAAGTAACTCTCCCATGTTCTGTCGTCAGCTAAGCCAGCAAGGTCCCAATGACATAGAGGGAAACACACACGAGGGTAATCCTGAGAGTCACCTCAAACATGGACCTGATCCTGCTGCATGCATTTTCCTTACATTTACATATTGGTGATCGAGATAGGCCAGCTTCATCGTCTGTTGGTCAGTATGGGATGAACCCCACTCCCTCCTTCCAGAAACCCAAAGATCTGGCTTAAAAGGATATAAAGTCAAATTTTCTTCTACTGATATTTAATATGATACCAAGTGTGGTGCAGTGGATGGAGAGATGGGCTAGGACTCTGGAGACTAGGATAGAGAGATGGGCTAGGACTCTGGAGACTTCCAGCCATGGAAACTCACTGGGAGAATGGAACTGGTCAAACCATTCCTTAAATATCTCACTTACCTTGAAAGTCCTATTAGCATCACTATAAATTGGTTTTCATTTGACACATAACAATATTTTCCTCTCTTTCCACACAAACAAATGGTGCTCTCCTGGATTCTCTCACCTCAAAATGATGGTTGTGACACAAAACTAGTGTTTTTTTTAAAATCTATGCAAGTCGGCAATCATCTTATGGTATTTCCTCTCTTCTGTCTTTCAGGATTGATAAGGTCTTGTGGATATTTTCACATAAATTGCAGGAAGTGACTTATGGATCAAGGCCCTCCAACCAGCAGAAGACCAAGCAGCCTGGACAGACATCACCCCACAGTTTGGCTTCCTGGATTTCTCCAGAGCAGTGAGTATTTTGCATATCCACTTCAAAAGACGAGGATCAGCAGGTATGACAAATGGGTCTAACCCTTCAGTTCATCCAGATAATTTATCATGTATACAGTGCTGGTATTTCTCTTGGTCCCAAGACATGCAGAGCAGCAACTGGGGAGCACCTGGTTCTTTAGAGGAAGAACCGTATGTAATGTCCAACCAAGGAAAAGCCATTTTAAAACACACACAAACAAAAGCATCTCCTAAGCATCCTCAAAAGAAAGAACAAAAGAGGTCCCAGGTTTGCATTTTTATAGCAAGACTTTCAGATTTTTCAGCTGAAATGTTTGGTTTCAGTTCAAATCAGCAACCTTACTCTCTTTAAAAATCCATTTTGAAAAGATTAATAACTGCAGCAAATGGTTAAAAATATTGACACAACATTTCCTTTAGAGCTGAAAAGCAAACTGTAATGGAAATTATACCTTTGAAGACTAGGATGAATAATCTCCTGAAAGGTACAGAATGATTGTCAAATAATTATGACATGGAAGAAGAACGCCTGAAAGAAGGTTGTGTGTTTCTTCTCCGTGACTTGCAAGAAAAAAACATTTCATAAAAGTCGTCCCTGATTTGTCTGATATACAATTATTGAAATTTTAATAAGGATTGTGCAGAGATTCCAGAGTATTGCATGAAGTCACGAGGAATAATAAGTCTATTGCAGGAGAGTCTGACAGAGATTCATAAAAATGAATGACATTCTATATCATAACATCTCGTCATCTCTTCTGCATGCTAATAGTTCACTTCATCTTTTTTTTTTTAGCATAATGAGACAGACTATGTACTCAATATTCAACTCCAAAATGAAGATTATGGGAAATTTGATTTTAATCCTGAAAGTCACATTTAACAGAGAGACAAACAACATTCCGATAAAGTTTCAATTAAAGGCACTTTAAGAGAGCTTTTATCGTGGCAAAGACTAAATATTCTTGGAGGGAGATAGGGGTGTCTCTGTGTGTGAATGTTCCTTAGCGGTATTTTTAGAGCTCATTCTTTCGATAGGGTCTGCCCTGTTTCTTTCAATGTTTCAGTCTTCTAAGTACACTCAGAAAGGGATTGTTTTTCTTAGTCTCAAAACTGCAGTGCTGAGTGCAGTTTTCAAAAGGACAAACAGAACAAGGAGGAAACAATGCTTTTCTCAAATTAGGCCAAGAAGTGTTACAGAATCTGGCGGCGGAGGGGGGGGTTCTCTTACACCAAAGTCCTTTATTGAGGGCAGTCCTTCAGAATATCCTTAATAACTGTAATCTGGCAGGGTCAAGCCTAGTTATGACAAGAATGGGTAATCACAGGAATCATGCGAGGGAGGCTAAGAAAGGAAGCTCTTCCTTCCACACACTCTTTGTGTGAAGCTCTTCAGAGGTGCTGCCAGCTGGACTGGATTCTGGCTCAGGTGAAGGCAGCAACCCATGGTCTTGTGGAACTACCCACCACAAGAGCAGATGTTGGCATCTAACTAGAGCTTAGAGAAACTACTTGTTGGTCTACAAAGCTTCCTCAGTCCTATGCTGGCTAGATGTAAACAAGGGAAGTTTGGTTTTTGCTTTTATTTTCATTGTTTTACTTTTTTCACCTGGTTTTAATTGTTTTCTTAGAGGTATGGATGCTGAGCTGAATTCCTCTTAGTGAGTTAGAAATATTTCAAACCTGGAAAAAGGAAACCCATTGGCCTGCCAATGCAAGAGAAAGTTCCTTTCTTGCATTTTTCTTAAACATATCCCGCAGCAAGAGAGGAATGAGAGGGGAAAAAACTTCTCCTTTTTCCCAGTAATTCCATCTTAATCGCTTACACCTCTGTTTTACCCCCTTAATCAATAACAGAATTAGTATCTGAAATAAGTTAAGTGGCTGTTAATCACAGAAAAACATTGCACAAACAAGACCTATCGTACACTGGCTGTCGCGTATATACACTTGGAAATCTAATTAGATAGAATCGGAAAGGTCTAGAACGCAGCATGGAAGATTATAGGATCACCAAGCTTATTAACCATTCATGATTGCCAGAGGAATAATGACTTATTGTGCTAAAATTAACAACAATGTGAAGATTTTTTCCCCTGCCTTATCGAAAAGCCTGGCTTTGAACATGTTCCACACTTTCCTAGTCTTGTTAATCTTTCTCCTCATGCAAGGTCACTTTCCAATTCATTAGAACAAGGTTGCAATTACTTTTTTATAATTAAAAAGACCAAATTAGTCTGACTAGACCCAGCTCATCTTCGTCGGATCTCTGCCCTTCCACTTATTTAAAGTGGCAATTCAGGAGAAAGCCGTACCATCAGCTGCATCTTAATGCACTTCCCTTTTCGCTGTTCCTTTCCACAATCCTGCAACCTGTTACAAATGGGGGTCCTGTGTTTTTAGCTTAAGTGCTTGTACATGATGATCTGCAACTGAGTGAGTGAAATAGCAACGAATTTGGAGATCCAGTGATGCAAAAAAAAAAATGCTCTCTGCTTAATGTTCACTCTATAAGAATCTCTGCTCAGCAGCATTCAGGGCCAACACTGGTGATCAGAGGAGTGGCTTCTTCTGATCTTGCAGAAGCAAAACAAGAGAAGGCTGAGAGAATGTGGGAATTCTTCTGAGCCCTCTCATAGAAGCAGCCACAAAAATAATCAAGATAAATGGAGACAGAGTCTGAGTAAAACATAGGCCACCAAAATCTGGAGGGGTGGAATGCAGGCCACTGGTTGAAACCCTGTTGCTCAGCTGCATTTGTATAATGGTGATGTTATTGTCATCGGTGACAAATCACCACTGATTCAAGGGGATTTGGGGGCACCCATGACTCATACACAATGCAATGAAGTCACGTGCATCCCAATATTGCCAAAGGAAGCCTTTAATCTGTGGCAGTTTACTGATGCCAATGCCCACACCCTCACCATGGTGCAAGCTTGGATGTACAGCAGGATCCATCAAAAGGTACCCTGGTGCCAGCTGGGACATGGTGTGTGCAGGTGCCCAGGCTTCAAAGCCAGCCAGCAGACAATTATCAAACTGTCTCATCCTCTAAAGGTCCCCACCTGGAGATTCACAGAAGCAGAGCTGTGCTCTGAGACTTCAGTCAGCAAATCTAGTCTTATTTGTAATTATATCTGTCAGCTGCTCAGGAGGATGCAAAAACAGTGTGGAAAAGGTGGATTTGGACAATTTGAAAGCATCATGTGCAGGGAACACGGAGCCCTCTGAACTATGTTACTGAGCAGATCTGGTCATTTCTTGGCTAAGCTGCCTGTGGTGATGGGATTTGCAGTGGCGCAGGACCTGGAAGGTGGTGCATCTCCCACTACCCCTCTTAGGGAAGTTGCCTGCTGTGAAACCTGTCATATTGTTTCTTCCTTTTCCTGTTAATTAAACAGAGTTGGCTTTGCTCCTATTATGGCTCATCAGGCCTTATCTCTTCTTCAGGGATATTAATACTAGTTTTGCTCATCTTGTTTATCTGCTTTCTCTTATTGTTTATCTCCCACCATTTATTTGTGGAATTGTTATTGCGAAGCTTTGAGACACCATCTGAAATGCCATCTGAAGCCCTCCAGTTTCCCCCACCCACCCACTCTTCCAAAGTTTGCATTTTTACTCTCTTCCCTTGGGTAACATAATTCATTCTCCCTGTTTGGAGCATCATTGGTATGCAGAAAATACTTCCATATACTTTCCAGTCTCTACAGATGGTATAAAGTGGCTGATCTTTTGCATAATTTTCTGTGTAATATTCAGCCTTTGACGTCTTGAAATTCTCTTCAAATGAGCAGGTAGAATATAATCAAGCCACTATTGAAATCATGGTTTCTTATTCCAAGTCTTCTAGGCAGATCGTTCACCCTTGAAATAGTGGGTTTAAGCTTCTAAAACAAAATTAACTATTTTGGGCTCAGTTTATTTCTATGGGAATTCCAGCAATGTGGCCAATGCAGAATGAGCTGAGCCTTTGGCATGAATACTTAATTAATTTTTAAAAATCCTAATTGTGCTGCAGTATCCATAAGTATTTACTGTTCTATAGGAAACATGAAACTGGTGAAAAGTGTCATTTTTTGCCACATGTGACTGCCCTCGTCATAGATGATCAGACTACTGAGTGCCCTGGCTGTCTTATTTTTACTGCTGTTTAATGGTACAGTAGTCCAGTAGCACAACCTGCTTTCTCCATTTAAACAAATGGCAGAAGACACCAGTTTTGTATATTCTGTTCACCAGGTAATGTGCTGTTCTGGTGCTTCTAGCATTTTCCCAGCCAAGGCTGTAACATTTAAATCATATTTAAAATTCTGGGAGACAGTTGCTTCTAGGTTGGAAATGTGTGGAATGATTTATGAGTGACCACTTCTGGGGACAAAGGGTGGTATTATAGTTCATTTATTTAATACTTGACATCTTTCTGCAGATCTGGGTGTGGGTGGGTCTGGCTGCTCCTTCTTCATCACCTCCAGATCCATGAAAAGCCCATGCCTCATGAGCAAACCTTTTCTTCGATCTTGACATTCTCTACTGTTTATATGAATATAGCTTTACAGTATATCCCATGTCAAGAGGAGAGTTATGGTTTGGTGGCAAAAAGCATGTGATCTGAAGCATGCAATGCTTCCTAAATTCCATTCCTGGCTTCTCCAGACAGCTCTCCAGATAACTCCTGCCTGTGTGAGGCTTGATAATATTGTGCAAAGTGGTCCAACACTCTGATATGATATAAGGTACCGTCCTCTATTCTGCTGTGTGTGTAACATTTGCATCTCTCCTTTCCAATAAAACTAGTGCTCCAGGCAGCTGACAATAACAAGATACAGATAAAGGGCAGAACTCTGATTAAAGCATGAGAACAAATCATTTAAAGACACATCAATCAAATAAAAAGTGCCTGCCATTTAAAGCCAGCTTTGGTGAACATCAACTAAAAATCCAACAGCCAGCCTGTCTGAATAAAGATGTCCCTTTACTCAGCACATCAGCACA